ATGGTTGTTCTCTCTGAATACGAATAGCCTCTTTCATTTTAAGCTGAAAACCGGTGGAGGCGTGATCTAAAACATGGAAGTTATCTGCTGAAAACAGAGCGCGACAGTGCGGAGAATCTTTCAAATGCCTGAAAATGTGAGAGGCCTTGTCACTTACTAAGTGCTCTCTAACACGTGTGGAAAAATTCCGGCAGGTTTCACCGACGTAACAGGCATTACACCAGCACATACTTATAGACCACTCGTGAACGGAGCCCGTCAGGGACAGGGTCTTTCACACCAAACAAGTTACCGATTTTGAAGGAAGAGAAAACCAGTTTGATATCCAAGTCATTGCGATAGCGCTTCATAAATGACGGATCTTTTTTTGAGTGATAGCAGAAAAGTGGCCTATGTAGGGTAGCTTAAAGTAGAACGTAGGTGAAATGGTAGGAGGGGAACCCCGGAGATGATGATTGTTTTGAGTCCCAGTAATAAAACGGTTTATAATCTTCTCGATTGATTAAATGAGCAGGGAAAAGATTCGTTTTTAGAATATCAGTAAGCTTGTTAATGTCCTCGTGAAAACCTAACCAGGTGCTATTAATCTTGTAAGCCCTATCAACGAGTGTCTTAATGAGACCCACTTTGTAAGAGTACGAGGTGAAGCTGAAATAATTAGTTAGTAACCCAGTGAAAGTTTTCTTGCGGTAAACCCTAGTTAGAGAGGAACTGGGCTCATGGTTGTCAATCAGGACATCTAAAAATGGTTATTTGTGATTAACCTGCTTTTCCATAGTGAACTTGATGTTAGGGAGCCTAGAGTTGATATAGTCGAAAAATATAATGGCATCGCGATCTGAGTTAAATAAGCACTCTTAAATAAGAGCAGTACTTGAACAAGTCGCTAAGAACCGAGTTCCGGTTTTAAAGAAGAACCCGAGAAATGAAAACAATCAATAATTTAATAGACAGTGAAAACTTTTTCTCGGGCTTTTTAGCGAGCAAACGCCAAAACACAAAAAGCACCAGCGCTGTTGGGTGTTTAGCCTGTATTCTTGCCAATCGGGTCATTATTTTGTGCTAAAGTGACTTTAAAATGCAAACGCACGCGCACTATCTTCGTGATAGCATAGTTCTGTTGAAGATGAGGATGGAGATTCACAACAGTGTAGCTGTGTCTTGTTGTGGGTATTGCTCATTGTCTTGATTTCTTCGTATAACTGGCAAAATGGGAGTAAAATTTATTATCTAAAGTAAACGTGAATCGAATTTAAATTATTCAGAATTGATAAGGATGATAATGAATGATTTTGTTTCAGACTTTTTGAGTCCAACCCAAGAGTTCAAGGCATATTTCCCACCTTTACGAGTTTGAAACTTGAGGCCGTAATCAACTCTCGATCTCTGTATCTTCACTTCAGACGAGCCATGACTGCGCTGGAAAATGCTGTGTTTTCTTTAAACGACGCAGAGATTTTCATCGAGTATTCAATTCAGTAAGCTGTTCATTAACATTTTTCACGTGCGTTGCAAAATATTTGAAGGATAAAAAACGCAATAGCGTCTATTTTGCGCGAAAATATATACGGATATTTGTCCTTGGATATTATCTGTTCCTCGAAGCTCACAGTTTCCGCATCTTGGAACAGAAAACTCGAGAAAATGACCGCGGACAAATATTTGCACTTATTTTGGCGCCAAATTGGAGAAATTGTTTATATAGTGCTGTATGGTGATTTAAAATTCAGTAGAGGGAAGCATAGTGCTATCTAGGGGTACATATTGTTGTGAAGCGTTGTCTAGTTATTGCATTTTACGGATTTACAGTGCTACTCAAGGGTATAATGTTGTATTGTGCTGTATGATGATAAAACTTGCAGCACAGGGATGTATAGGGATGGGGAAGAGGGGCATATAGGAGTGCGTATTCGAGTAGACAAGGAGTTTAATAATCGACTGAACGTGTTTGCTCATGATGAATCTCTAGAGTTGTCATCAGCTATCTCTCTGAGCACTATTGTAACTTATCCTTTCTTAATTATTGTTTTGTCAAAACTCTTCCTCAGGGTCTTCTCTGCGTCTACATCCGAGATGGCGGCTACCGACTCGATAGAGTCCGGCTGTGGATTAGCCTACCGTCATCTTGGATTCGCATTGTAGGTGGACCCTGGGCGAGAGTTTGACCCATTCCCAATCAGATGATAGAAGAGGCCTTAATTTGGACATTGAGGGACTTGTTTCCAACAAAATGCACCGATTATGTCGCCGAGACTTGGAGGGAGCTCTTCCGCTTTATGACTGCTACTATGATGAGAGGACTGAGGAGAGCAAGCACTGGCACCCTGTGGACTAGGAATCAATCGAAAGGAAAACTGAGATTTCACTAGAGGTGACTTTAAGAGGACACCATCCCAAAGTGGACATAATACGCATGATCATAACTACTATGGGGGAGTAACGAGGTATATGAGACGTAAGAAGCCAGACGTTGCGCGAAGATTGAGACGAGTGAAAACTGAAACAGACAAGGAGATATTCGCGTCCTATGAAGCGCGCAGAAGAACAAAGTTGAGGGCGATAAAAGAGGTGCGCGTAAAGATGGGAATAAAGGAAAATTGCGACGAAAAAGAAATGGAAGGAACCAGAGGAAGGAGAAAAATAAAGGGATGCGCAAATGTGAAAAGGCGTAAAAACTTGTGTGAGGAAAAAGATAAAAAAAAGGCGCAGACATGTAACAATATGAACACGTCCGTCGGCGTTCAAAACAGTATGGCAATACGGAGAACAGTAGACAGTGAAAGAGACACAATCGAAGAGATGACGCGCTTTTGTTATTTGGGCGGGGGCTTGAAACATGGAATGTTAGTACACTGTTAGCTGCACATATGATCAACTTGGCGGGCGGGTCAAAACAAGCATTGAAGTCCCCATAGGATCTGCTTTCTCTACATCTTACGTGCATCCTAAGAATATGGAGACAGACAATGTAAATCAACGCAGTTTTTGTATTTTATACACTGTATATTTCTCTTACACAAAGAAGTAAAAAAAGCACAATAGAAACTGCATTAAATTATTCAAGGCATTAAGTAAAATACGCGCTAAAAGGAGACGCTAAAATGAACTCATTTACTCCCAAGACTGATCATAATTTAAATTCTCCTCACAGTATTAATACACCGACAAACGTGGAGTCAATAAAAATTCGAGAAAATCCAAACTGGAGCATAATCTTTTCCTAGAAACATAATGTTACATCGAATTCTCGGAACAAGCGGCAGCAAAGAGAAACACATTCTTATCAGTTGGGAGAATTTTTCTTCAGAACTAGGGAGTTCATGAGTTAATTATTATAAACTAAGATAAATGAACAATTATCTTCAACTTAAAAAAAAATAGCATCAAAACACTTCACACGAAGTACATTGACATTATACAAACCATGTTTAGTTGAAACTGTCCCAGAATGTCTTTAAAATCCTAGTTACATTATATTTAACCACGCATATTATCAGACATCCTCGAATCATGCTGAGGTAAATTTAAAGCGATGAAAAAATTTCAAGAGGTGATTTTCAACAATTAGAAGTTTTATCCTGAAGCCATGAACCTTTTCAACTACGCACTAGGTTTACATTAATTCATGAGCCTTTTCACCAAAATAATTCCCATTGAGGACTACATGGCTTACGTTAACTGCTTCTCTCATTTATGAGCGTAAATATTGTCGTACTAGAAACAACAAATTCCATGTCACATACAATAAAAGTCACACCTATGGAAACTTTAACTATAGTGAACTCTACGTCCCTCTTTCCTAGTTTAGATTACATGGACAACTTTTAGCCTCTCCGTCGTCGTTCTTTAAAACGAACGGAGAAGTGTTTGGTAAAACGGACAAAAGTTGGCCAGACTCGTTTGATTAAAAAAAGGGGTTGTAGCCAGCTTTTTGACAAAATGTAAGCCTCTTCCCTCACAAATTTCAGTTTTTGTTTCAACATTTGCAAGAGTCATATTTTCTTTTAGTAACAGTCAAGCGGACAGAAAACAATTGTAGGCCGGGCATACGGGAGTAGAGGCTGGCTACACCCCTAAAAGTAGGTGTAATGTCTCTAACATATGGTTAGTAAATTTAATAACATCATCTCTGATGTTTACTTCTTCAAATTAAGCTTAGAATGGCAATCTTGGCACTGACAGAACTAGATTGCATTAAAATGGATTGAGTTGAAAATGGTAATCAATTTTTTTGTAAAGATGAAGGTAAATTGTAACAAAGTAATTTATGATGTAGAGAACGGTCTAAGATCAATTCACATATTCAATTCACATACATATTCAAACAAAGTTTTGGAAATAAAAATTCGCCAACTTTTGCAAATGACGAATTGTTTCTTTGCTTATCAAAAGCTTAGAGCATAAAGGTAATTAAAATCCGGTGGAAAAGCCCCTGGTTGGGTAAAAGAAATAGCCTTTAAATTATTTTACATACAACTGATTGTAATCCAGGAACAGAGCTGAGTGACATTTTGGTGGAAATGGAAACCTCGTTCATATTAGAGGCTTTGTTGCATTTCGTTCTCTTCGCAAGCATTTAAATTTGTTAAGGTAACAAAAAATGACAATTCCACTGATCAAAATATAATGAAATAGACTGGTTTATTTCTTCACCATAGTAAAGTTGCACATCTCAAGTTCCATTTAACAAAAAAATAAAAAGTAAAGAAAAATAGCCAAAAATTGTTTAAAATAGAGAAACATTAAAACCTTCCAAGTTCCTACTTCATTCTTTTGAGATGAAAAAAAACATTTTCTCATTTATTTGATTTTCTATTCAAATTTTCTCTTTCCTTTGCCATCAGGTCAAACGTGAGGTCATCTCCAATCAGCATAAAGGGCGCCCAGTATTTGATTTCGTGGAACTCATCTGATTCTCTGAGGCTTTTCATGGCCAGGTTCAGTGACTTGCTTGTAGGTTTACCTTCTGCAAGGTGTTGATAAAAGCATTTCATGAACTGGAGAGTAGCCTCGTCATCAATCGCCCACAGGGACACCACAACAGACCGAGCACCAGCTCCCATAAAAGCGCGCGCAATGCCAACCACACCTTCAGCCTTGATCTCGCCCCGACCACTGTGGCAGCAACTGAGCACAACAAGTTTGGCGCGAAGTTGAACATTCAACACATCTCGAATCGTTAAAATGTAATCCTCCTTCTCCGTAGGCACAGTAGATATTCGGTCTAGGTCAGGTGTAAGAGCAATTTCGCCAGTTTCCGGACATCCGTGTGCCGCAAAGTGAACTAAGGAAACGGAACTGAGTCTTTTCAACACCTCACGTTTGGTGGCCTGTCTGCCAGTGATTGGCGTGATATTCAGAATTTTTCCGATCATTTCTACTTCTTTTTCAGCATACTCAAGCTGCTCCAAGACTTTCTTTCCCTCGCTGTTAGTAACCTCGGATACCCACGGATCTCCTACAAGTAACGCACCACTGCTTTTGTGATAATCATCTGGGCAATCGGCAATGAGTCTAAGACTTGCTAACGATGGAGCGACTCGGATTGTGAACGATTCACACAGGTATTTAGAATTACCATCCTTCAATGCAGCGTAAGGAGCGATCCACAGGGGTCCATCAGGAATAATGAGTAGCTCATCCCTTCAATCAATTCAGCCACCGGCTTCATAACGATATCATACAAAGTGCTCAAGCATCCGTCTTGTTGGATGTGAGGTTGAGGGTTGGCTTCTTTGGTTTTCTCATCCACTTTTGAAGGGCCCTCCCTCAAAGCATCTAAAGATCGATTCTCGCATCTCACATTAGAACGAACACCAAGTTGTGTATAGACACCGAGCATGAACGACTCAAAGGACTGGCTAGATCCATTATTCTCTGAAACAAAACCTTTGAGTTTACTTTGTCTTAACCGAACTTGTTTTCCTTCGGAAACAACCCAAAGATTGACGTTAGCTTCTTCCACTGCCTGAAAGACAGTGTTTGATGGAACGTTTTTTTTTTTAAAACTGTGAAATCTTCATCTTCTCCCTTATGGTGACTAGTTCCACCACAAAACTGGATTCCATGAGGTCGGTCAGAGCTTGAGCTCGCCCTTTCTCAGCAACAAATAAGGCTTCATCTACATTACCTTGTTCTACGAGAACTCTCCACAAACCCGTATACGCCATTTGATGCTGATTTCGAAAATTAACTTTCCACTCATCTTTAGATTTTAGAAGTAATCTCAAGGAATCGAATAAGTTTATGCTAGCTTGATAATGTTCAACGGCTTTTGGCAGTCCACCTTGCAACTCAAAAACGCATCCTAGTGAAGAGTAGGCCGTTGCCTCAAGGTATTTGTTTCCTACTTCTTTGGCTATTTTAAGAGCTAGGTTGTGGTACTCTATGGCTTTTTTGAAATCGCCCACACAGAGATAAGCATTGCCAAGATTGCCATAAGGAGCACCCTCCCCATGCTTGTCTCCCACTTCTTTAGCTATTTTAAGATTTAGGTTGTAGTACTCTATGGCTTTTTTGAAATCACCCAGACGGAGATAAGCATTACCAAGATTGCCATAAGCGTTACCCTCCCCATGCTTGTCTCCCACTTCTTTAGCTATTTTAAGATTTAGGTTGTAGTACTCTATGGCTTTTTTGAAATCACCCAGACGGAGATAAGCATTACCAAGATTGCCATAAGCACCACCCTCCCCATGCTTGTCTCCTACTTCTTTAGCTATTTTAAGATGTAGGTTGTGGTACTCTATGGCTTTTTTGAAATCACCCAGACGGTGATAAGCATTGCCAAGACTGCCATAAGCGTTACCCTCCCCATGCTTGTCTCCTACTTCTTTAGCTATTTTAAGATGTAGGTTGTGGTACTCTATGGCTTTTTTGAAATCACCCAGACTAATATAAGCATTGCCAAGATTGCCATAAGCACCACCCTCCCCATGCTTGTCTCCTATATCTTTAGCTATTTTAAGATGTAGGTTGTGGTACTCTATGGCTTTTTTGAAATCACCCAGACTCTGATAAGCATTGCCAAGATTGCCATAAGCGTTACCCTCCCAATGCTTGTCTCCTACTTCTTTAACTATTTTAAGATTTAGGTTGTGGTACTCTATGGCTTTTTTTAAATCACCCAGACTCTGATAAGCATTGCCAAGATTGCCATAAGCACCACCCTCCCCATGCTTGTCTCCTACTTCTTTAGCTATTTTAAGATGTAGGTTGTGGTACTCTATGGCTTTTTTTAAATCACCCAGACTCTGATAAGCATTGCCAAGATTGCCATAAGCGTTACCCTCCCCATGCTTGTCTCCTACTTCTTTAGCTTTTTTAAGATATAGCTTGAGGTACTCTATGGCTTCTTCTCCCCGATTATAGAGATCTATGACTTTTTTGACATCACCTGAACTTGCACTACCATGGTCATGACTAATAGGATCTTTTTCCTCCATGGACTTTTCTCCCACTTCACTGACAGACTGAAGTCTTAATGACAACAAGATCCTATTGTTTTTGTCAATCTTTTTTATGTTAAGGGTAAAAAATGTGCAAAAAACAAAAAAGATTATGTTTCTGATCATATTGATATGTAATAGTCCATTTTAACATTTGCGTGCTTGGTTCCCAAGCCTCTGAACAAGAGGGATGATAAAGGGTGACCTTGTTATGATAAAAACATTGCTGCTTTTTAAATGCAAACTACTTTGTTATTATCGTTTCTAGATACTGGTGTCTATCACAGCAAGGTCACCTTCAGCCTCACTCCAAATCAAAGGCGTGGCAACTAAGTACACAACTATAAAATGGCCCATTAGGAGGGCTTTGCATTAAAGGTAGATGATTCATCAACATTCAGTCTTAAAGTCAGTTATGAAGTAAATCTACACTTCAAAAAATGTTTTTTCTGTGTGCAGCCTCAAAATTTAACGCGAAATATCTAGATTTAATCCTTAGTTTCCAAAAACTGAGCAGCGCTTGCTCAATTTTTAAATTAATATAGCTTTTACATCAGACAAATGTTTTACAGCAGTGGAAGAAATGAGTCTACAACACAAATACATGTCTTTAAAATTTTTATTTGTCGATAGGAAAGCAGGACGAAAGTTTCCGAGTCTCTAAGTAGTGGAAAAAGGTCGAAGGCAAGAAAATCTGCATAAGATATGTAAACATTACCGAGCTTTTTGTTCAAGCTTGTTTTAGAGAGATCATCTACCCAAGTACCATGTATAAACTGGATGAATATTAGTCTTCTAACCCTTTAACTCCCGTGAGTGACCAAAAGAGAATTTCTCCTTACAATAGCAATACAATATCAATCAGATAAAAGTTGAGAGTAAAAAAATATATATCAATTTGAAAATAATTAGTTGATGCAATACTGAATTCTCTGTACTAACATTACAAGAATTGTGTGGTTGACAGTAAGGATAATTACAAATTTGGTTTGGGAAATTAAAGGGTTATTTAAACTAATGTACCAGTTGTTGGCATGGATAGTATAACCGAGTCAAATTGGCTAAAAGGAGTAATTTCATTAATAACTTCTCCTATGTTTTTAATCACACACACTTAAAGTATATGAGCTGACAAGTTCCCATCATAATTAATACCCTTGAAACATCAAATTATGGAAACTATTTCCATTATACCCACGGTTAAAAATGAAAGATTCCTTCAAAGGATACAGCTAGTCCCTTATCACACCAAGTGATTGCTTCTTCAAATCTCTTCAATTCAACACAAGCAGTGGCTCCTGTAGGCAACAACACAAAGAAGCATACTTTACTGTAGCTCAATTCTAAGAAAAGAACCCGAAACCATTGAAATCATTACAGACCAGAAGAAAAAAAAAAAGACAAAACAAAACAATACAAAAAAAACTAAACGGTAAAGAATAAACAAGCCCTATTAGGTTTCAGTTAGATTTATTTAGCTTTACAGACAACTGAAACTTCTAAGAACACTTAAATTGGGATCAACAACTCCCACAAAAACACTAAGAGTTAGGTAAGTCCTGATCATTCTTTTTAAAATAGCTAGATAGTGACTTAAGAGCGTGTCCACGAGAGCACCGGGCAGTCGTGCTACATGCCATCTCACCGATTTCAATGAAACTTTGCCATTTTAAAGGGTCTACCCCTAAACTCAAAAAGACAAACTGGTTTCTGTTTTAGTTTTTTCCGGGGGGAGATAGACCACCCCCCGGTTTTTCTTGGTTTTCACCAAGGAAATCGTTTCAAATAGGTAAATTGTATGAAGCTCTCACTGCGATGGTATTTAACCGATTACTTTGAGGATTTGCACACATATTCTTACATCCTTAGTTAATGGTCGCCGCGAGTATCAGTCAGTTTGATTGACGGCTTGTCAATCAACAGAGGCAAATATACGACTGTGTTTTAAGACTTTTCATTCATCCAAATATTTGACAACTTTGAGATCAAATATCTCCCGTTGCCAGAAAGCTACAACACTTATCTTAATTACCCTTTATAACCCATCATGTCATCTCTGAAATTCATCAAAAAAATCTTTGGGCACTACCGTATTTTTGTCTTGGATGCCTTTTTTAAAATCTGCGACTGTGACAAGTTTCTCTCCACTACACCTGTCACGCACTTCTTGCTCTAGGCGGTCACTTGACGAAATAAACCAACATTTTTAGCTCTTTATACAAGATGATTGATCAAGAAAGGTGAAAAATGTGAAAAACTTTCGAGATTTTTTGTAGGAATGGAAAATCTCACGTTTAGAGAGATGCATGTTGATGAAAAATCAATGGGAAAATCGTTGCGTTTCTTTCTTCAGTCGTTTATTACTTTGAAGATTTGCTAAATTCAGGACATAGGGCTTTTCTACAGAACAAAACATTCACTAGCCTATACTTTGATCATCTATTATCATTATCGCACAGTTTACAATAAGGAAACTGTAACAGGAAAGGAGATTTTAAAGTCACATGTCGCCTGCTTGTTGACGCACAAGTTCCCGAGTGTAACAACTTCGGCTTTTCCTTAACGCGAATGACGGGAAACTCTGCCCCCCCTTATTTGTTAGGAAATATCAATAGCCCCATAAATTCATTAACTACGCCATGTTTCCAGAAAATAAGACTGGAAAATGTTTTTTCCACTTTCCACCATCAAGAAATTCCACGTAAAGGAATAGTATTTGTAGGGTTACTGCGTGACCTTTCATGAGAGAGTAAAAAATCGTTCATCTTTTTTTTTTTCAAGAAGGAAATTCTAGGAGGTTCCTAAACCTTCTGTTATCTTATTTTCCTAATTTGTGACTGCAAATATCATCTGCATTTGCTATTATTTTCGCTGATTGTCATGGCCTTTCCTGCGTGCACGTGCGAGCTAGTTCATATACAGGACTCTTTCGAGTTTTTCTGGGTGGTGTCGGGCTTAGGTGTGTAGATTTTGTGGCTCAAAAGATATCTGCACGCTGCAACACGTTTTTTCTTCATTTGGATTTTCACTCTCTTGCTTGCATTATCACACATTTATGTTTTTTTATTCCCTCAGCACGTTCCCTCAGATTTGGAAGTAGGCCATGAAAAGTCAATATTGACCAGAACTGAAATCCTTTTTTATCACTATTTGTTTCAGAGAACCCCCGTCATTTGTGACTTTATTTCTCAAGAAAATGTGTTTTTATTTGCTATTTATTTCCATTAGAACATGAAACTAGGTCCTGATAAATTTTTTTGTCTCGTGACTCCCAAAAACTGTGTTTGCGACAACATCAATTGAGAAATCAAAGGCAATGACGCCTGAGAAATTCGCTTGTAGCCTTCTACCTGCAGAAGGCAACTCCATATAATTAAACGTTCTAAGACTTCTGTAAACTAGAGACATTGCGTGATGTTGAAGGGTGAAATATTTACACTAAATCTATGACCCTCAAACGGATCACGTACTCGTACATGTAACGTCCGGAAAATGTCATGCATGTATAACATCGTACGCGCACCTGGCGAATTCTATCCACTGGCTTCAATAGCAAAGAGACAACTTATTTACTACTTGTATATGAGCAAGCTTGTCTACCCTACTTGAAAAAAATCCTTGATAAAGTCTACTATTGTCAGACGAAATGCGTGGAAGATAAATACAAGTTTTTACTTTCTCAGTTCGTGCAGTGATGCTCACTAGTTTGTTCCGTCAAAAACGCTTTTAATGTGAAGTCACGTCGACCTCGACAGAAAAACTAAGCTCACCCTGTCATAATCAATGGTTTGATACCGTAAGTACCAATTTAGGTACATCATTGGGCTTTGATCACAATGATAAAAAAAATGTGCGTTTCCTCACGCTCGCCACGTTTATTCTTTGGAAAATTATTTTACTGGAGGGCGGTGTCGCTTACCTTGGCGCGTCTTGACTCTGGCCGATGAAAATTATCGAGGTGAACTCCATGAAATTCTAGTCAAATGTTTTAAAAACTTTGTCTACCCTTGATTTGCACACAGAAAATAAAGGCAAATTCTGAACGGTATTTCAAAACATTTTATTCATTAGTCATGAACTGTTTTATAGGAGCCCGAGGAAAAAGCAAAATTGAAACAACCGGCGTATCGGTCAAATGAATCCCAATTTTTTCAACAAGGAGTTGGTAAGTTCATTTTTCCTGGTAAATTTAAGTGGGGGTCATTTTTTTGTGACAGCCGATCAAAGATAGACATCTCTGAAACGTCTCTGAAACTCTTTTTAAAAAGAGTTTACACTTCCGGTAATATTTTCCTCCTTCTCGCAACAGCGCAACAGACATTCTAGCGCGTATTGGCTTATTTGGAGATTACGAAGGCCGCGATTTCACGATGTACCTCAAATATGGTGCACAACTTGGTGTAAGATTCAGACCTTCGGGTTCGTAAATGCCAGTATCCTCCTCATAAAAATCGGAGACATAACGTGAGAGAGAGATGAATCTGCAGATGGCAGAAGAAATCAAAGCTGGTGGCGAGTCTTCCTGGTGGCGGCAAGGTGACTGTAAACCTAAATAGAACGCGTACTGTAGCTGCTATCTTAGAGTCGGCAATGAATAAGGAAGAAGGGCAAGAAGAGCGCTTATCTGAACATCAGTTTTCCTAACTGGTGATTTGTGACTAAGATGAACTTCATATCATATGATTGCTAGGGATACGCAGGTACTGTAGAGGCGCTCACATAGATAGAGGTGGGCGATCCTCCCTCTGACTTAAGAACTGCGACAAGTTTATAGCGCAGACCAACTGGCACGGTTTGAAGCACCTCAGGGTCTCACTAGGCTCATCACATTAGAAACCTTCAGCAAACTAATCGTGGAAGCGGGTGGTTATCAGCAACGTGCACAGATTTCTGAACGCAGGTCATCGCGA